TGTCTAATGTCATCGAAAAATATTCGAATTTTTATAACAAATTTTTCTTTGACAATTTCGAAACATTCGTTCGCGTTGTTTTCTTATATACAGAAGAAAGTCAGGTCTAACTTTTCTTCGCATGCATATGTTAATCTCTTAATATTATCGCGAGTTATGAAAGGAATGAAGTACAGTCGATTAACTCCGGAGTGTACTTTTTTTGCAGAAATATTCCGCTCCAATTAATCCGGTATAAGATGGGAGAGGCGGTTCTCGTGCTACGTAAAGCATCATCGTATTATAGATTCGCGTTATTGGTGACTAATAATGTTGTTCGGTAATTTGAGACACGCTGATAGCAATAAAAGTAAGAATGCTGCCATGAAAAGGTCTCGATAATGAGATATCACATTTTGCCAACTTTATTATTAAATAGACAGAAATCACGAGTAAAATAAAATTTTTTAAAAACTGCTCATATCGTCGAGTTATGACGAACTCGTCGTTCCTTGTTAACATTTACAAATTGTTATTCGATGATCAATATTACGTATTTCTCAGGCGTATAGTATAGCTATAATTAATAGCATGATTTATTCGCGATTACAAAATTTTATACCACACATGATCAATTTACACGTAAATTACAGTATAATTCGATGCTGTAATCGATATATAAGAAATTTCGCATTTTCACATGATGGGTGCTAAAATTTAAAAAATCAGACATTTTTAAAAAAGATTTATATGCAACTATAATGTTCACCTTGAAAAAATTACCTTTTTTGACGATAAATAGTACATTTAGAGTAGTAAAAAAGAAACAGAATATCTAATTAAAGTTATTAGTGTATTATTAATATATTTAAAATATTTTTATTATATTTTAAATATTCATTTTAATATTTTCGTAAAAATTTTCACTATGGATGGTATTCATAGTCTTATATTTGAGATTGTCTTAAGCTGTCATAAGCTAGTTAGAGGACTATATTATAGAGATGGGAAGAACAATTCAGTTCACTGAAAAGACCCGTTCGCTAAAATAGTTCGTCGCGAACTACTCGTCCAAAATTCCGCATGCATCATATCACTATTGTGAACGCGTTAATAGTTCAAACACACTAAAGACCCTCTAATCAGTCTAATCAAAGTCTGGTCTCGACGCTTTTGAAAGTGATGGTTCGACATTTTTCTTTAACTCGCGCCAGTTGTTTGAAATATATGTCATTATCTAGTCTTTTGACGATGAATTGTTGCAAAATGTACGCAATTAACTATTTTTACTTAGAAAGAAGTACTTATATATATTTAGATTATAAATACAAAATAAAAAAGTTGAACTACGTATATTTCACCGCGTATTTACTTATATTTGCCAAGAATTATGAAGCTTAATTCAGTTTGGCAATTGTCGCTCATCGATAAAATAGTTTAATTTGACCTACTTTATTTGAGAATTATGAACTAGTTCATCTAGTCCACAAGTAAAAGATTCGTTCATTTTACCCATTCGTTCGCGAACTATCCATCTTTACTGTATTAGCATCTTAATGAGCTTTCTACAATAAGATATTACCTAAGTTTTAAATCTTAAATTGTAGAAACCGTCTTAAGCGTAAGGAATTGATTAATCGCAGTCAAATGTGAGAAAAATCGCTTATGATTAGTTTTTTTACGACTTAAGACAAGCTTAGATAATGGTTTATTATTATAGAAAGCCCATTATGCGTCGTCTACAATATGCGAAGTAAGCTTGGTTTAAGAAGTAAGAGTAAGAAATTGACCAATCACAGTCGATTGTGAAAAGAATAATCGACTGTGATTGGTCAATTTGTTACTCTTACTTTTTAAACCAAGCTTACTTCGCATATTGTAGACGACACCTTAGACATTACTTAAGACGGTCTTAAAATAAGAACGGACTATAAATATTGTCATATGAGTGTGCAATTTAGCTAAAAGTCCTTTATGTTTATATCAAATTTTTTTTGTAAATGTCTATAAAATCACACGGATCACCGTGACATACTGCTAACATAAGTAAAAAGTTTTGACAGTATGTTGACTAGCAACAGATTCAATTAGAACATGTCGACACTGTCAGCAAAGTTGATATCAATTGCGTCTGTTTATGTTCTATCGACAAAAATCATGTTTTTCTAGACATTTATCAAATTTTTTAGTTTCATTTAATTTTTTATTATGCAAACCAATTATTACATTTTTTCCAAATTAATAGTACATTAAAATACAGAGTGACCAATAGGATGAGTTGAAACTAAATGATTATTACTTCGCAACAAGTAGACTGAACGAAATGAATCAAATGCTTTTATGGAGAAAACTTGTCAATTTTATTATCATATGTATGATAAAGATATATGATTATTTAATAATTGAAACATTATAAAGAAGGGCAAAAATATGCTTGCGTACATGAGTTAATGGTATATAAGTATATATTTTCAAAGTGTTCATCAAAATCAACACAAAATTGTAATCATTTTCGACCTACTTGTTGCAAAGTAAAAACCATTTAGTTTCAATTCATTCTCATTGGTCACCTTATACATACATATGTTATTGATGGAACATTACATTTCTGAAAGTCTTATTTATTACACGTGTGACTTTGGAAATAAATCTTGGCAAAGATATTTTAATTTATACGCGGAGGCTGATTGTATGATGTGTAATGCAGTTGCATACTACTTTATTGCGCTAACTTCGAAATAAGCGAATAAGAGGAAAAATGTTGAATAATAGGCAGCTCGGTATAGGCAATTTATAATTCATCGACAAAGTGCAATGACACGTATGATCTATACAAGCATAGTCTGAACGGAGATTGCAATCGTGCCAAGAAATAAAGATATTTTTTATACGAATTGGTGTGTATAGCCGAAAAATGGCGTTTGACTATCGACGGAACGAAAATAGCATAGACAATCTGGTTAAAAGTAAACTATTTCGCCGATGCAACAGCGAATTGGACGTACTTGGGATATCGAATTTGTCCCGAACAATTTTTATGCCCTGAAAATGAAACGTCTTTCTGTTATTAGAGTTATAGGATCGCGTCTTCCTCTTTGCTCTTTTTCCACCGTATTTATAAGAAAAAAAAAACAAATTTGTCAAAGTGTTTATTAGAATCGTTTCACAAGTATTTTTCAAATTTACAATACACATTTTACTATAAATCCGATTGCCAATCGTACCTATTTTGTCACTCACGTTTCACTTTCACGCTTTAAATTATTTTCCTGAAAGTTTTATCGATTTATATACAAAAGTAAGAAATTGATCACTTTCTTTCATTATGCACGATAGTATAATAATTAATACGATACCGTTAAATTGTAACAAGTGGAGCTCCGACTGAGCAAAGTACGAAATATTTTTCGGAGGAGTTTTATTTTCTTCTTCCTGCAATGGTTTTGATACCAAATGTTTTAGCTGGTATTAATAAATATACTTACATTTCTACATATGTAACGTTATGACATAAATGCATATACGTAAAAAAACGCATATGTTCCAAGATATGCGTAAATATAGAAGGTTGCGTATCGATTGGATCCGGAAACACATCATATACACATCCTGTATTTGTATTATATAATAATATGTACATACATATTACGACGGAATATTGAAAATTATAACGTTTGTAATACTATGTAATGAATGTATGACAAGTATAATCGGTATTATTGTTGAGTTATATTCAGCGCTATGCGAATGCCCAAAAATAAAACAGAAAAAAATAACAGATCAAGTATTAACGTTTTAAGGATCATTACTGTTTGTGAATCTTCTTCCTTGTAAGAACATATAACATTGTTGGAGACTTGTAAAGGAAGCAAGAAAAATAAAGTCGGATATAACGAAAACAAATATGCTATTTTGACGCAAACCCGACGAGTCCCGTTAGTTATTAATAACTTAATTAGGACGTCTAGAGTGAATTCAAAAATTGAAAAAAAAGAGTATTAGTAGTACAAAAATGGCGTATATTTTATTCACGAGCCTTTACTTTTTTTGCAGTAGAATATTATATCAAATATATGTATATTTTTTGTTCAAATACATATAATATTCGTAATGAATTTGTTGATACGCGCAACATATATGTATAATTTAAATATACATACACATAATCTTTTAAAATCTCTTGAAAAAAAGGTATCGATTAGCGTAACATTTGTCAGAAATATTTAATAATCTCATTATTTCTTAATTTACGTTTTCTTATTTGTTATTATCCTAAATATACAATAATATCAAGAAAGCTCATATCATTTAAATCGATAACATTTCAGTTAAAATAAATTTAAATTCATATCGCCATCATAATAAATTAAAAAATTAAATACAGATCATTATATGAATAATTACATATCGCTTATATAATGATCTATGTGTTTAATTTTGTGTATTAAACTATTAAGTGATATTTTCTTTGAATGAGAATATAATTATCATTATATAAACAATTACATATCGTTTATATAATGATCTGTATTTAATTTTGTGTATTAAGTGGTATTTTCTTTAAATGAGAATATAATTATCTTAGTTGTCATTATTTCATTGTAAATTCACTTATTAAAAATAACATATTGAGTTGACAAAATTTTGTATAAGTTATTTCGATAGATTGTGGCAAATGAAAATTTTCTAAAAGAAATTTTTCATCTGCCATCTATATATATGTACAGTACAAACTATTGTTAAAATTTAACTTTCCTCGGAAAGTAAGTAGTATCGGAGGGACGTTCTTTCGTTTATAATAAATAACTTCATACATAAATATATTTTATAAATATTGGTAAATACGTATATCTATTCTCTTATAAAAATATATAGCTACGTAACTTCATATAAATTCAATATAACAAATAGAAAACATTAAAAAAAACATAAAAAAGGTATAAAAAATGTGAACAATAAATCTAGAATCTGAATTATATAAATGGAAGATTTTTAATTAAAAAAAGCTGATTTGTACTGCACTCGTTAAAATTTCATATAATGATCTTATCTAGCAGGTCGCCTTCAACATACACGCTGCATTATTTGGCGACTGGCCAGTCAGAAAACAATTAGATCACGGGTAACGGTTCCGCTTTGGTAATTGCACCTTGATTCGTCGTTTATACCTGCGTGGTGAACGCGACGCCACCCGAAATTCAAATGGTAGATCGTAACAGCGGCAGATACAACAGCTTGGAAACTTAAACCAGTCGCTAAAAATACCACGGCACTCGTTGTTGGGATCGTAAGCCAACAATCGATGCAGCCGATACTGCTGCTCGCATCTGCATCCATCCCGGCAGTGCATTTGCTTGTTCTCGTATCTGCGACAAAATCGAAAATTCAAAAAATGGAATAAGAATACAAGACGATGAAGAAGACTACTTAACATAAACGTTTTAATTTTGTTTAGATTCCTTTCGACCAAAAATATAAATTAAATTATATCAACATTTGTTTCTCTTTTTAAAATTTTTAAATCGCTTACGTTGATATTTCTCGTTTAGGAATGACAATACTTACGTGCATTTCTCCCAATGGACATACTGCTCAAAGGGATACAGATTGAGGAGGGCCAAGATTTCACCACGAGTATTATTGGCCCAGTACGGTGCTACTACCTCTTCCTTAACGGGACAGGCGTTCCTGCACAAAATGATTTGGTAAGTTCTCTCAAATTTCTCATATTTATATTGTATATATTGTACTTTATATAGTTTTTCTCTCCTTCATTTTAAAAAATTTATATTAATTTTGTATAATCCATTTTTATATCTTTAATTAAAATTGCTTTTTATTTTAATTTGGTATTTCAATTTAATAAGTTTATTACAAAAAACTTCGAAATGGATTATTGTACTCACGTTCCTATAAACTTTAGCACTGGCTGCTCCTTCTGATCTTTCTCTGCAACATCTTGATAAAGCTGTCCCCCAGTATTTGTCGATGCTTCGACCACGCCCGATGGCCGATATTCAGGACGTGGTCTGAATAGTTGCTGTTGCTCATAACTTGCTGCGGTTATTAACTCTTCATGTATTGTTGTCTTTGTAGCATCGTTAAGCGTTTCTTCCTTGTCCTCCTCGTTCTCCTCCTCTTTGACCAGCAATTCCATGGGGACACCCGTTGTCGTTTCGATTGGTTGCATGGTGTGTGTTGTGTTCTCTTCGGTTATCATTTTCTCTAAATAAGCTTCTATTTCTGGTGCTTCCAGATCTTCATTGGTCCTGTCGTTCTGCCCTAGAATCTCATTGATGCTAAAATTTTGTTCTTTGACAATCTGAACCACTGTAATGCTCGGCGATGCTGTCGTCGTCGTGCTATTTACTACAAGATTACTATCAGTAACCTTGGTAGTGATGTTTGAAAATTTTGGAGAAGTTGACACTATTGAAGTTTCAGTCTTGATGTCCTCCGTGCTCGTAACGGTGGCGGCAGTAAACGAGGGCGTTATTGATGCATGCGTAACAAAGGTTGCAGCGCTAGTTGACGTCGAAGACAAAGTTGTAGAGGTAGTAATCGTGTTCGGGATGGTCGAACTGGTGGTCCGTTCGGTAGGCCTGAAATGTGGCCTGGTGTACTCGCTGAGCTTCGAGAACTTAGTCATTTGCTTGACGATGGGATCGTTGAGAGAGCGACCTTCATACTCGCCTTCATTAGCCTTTGGCCGATCGTCGTCAATGAATTCGTAATCATTGTCATATTCGAATTGTCTGAAAATCATAACACGCAATTAACTCATAAATTTGTCTCGATTTATAAGAGAATGTAATCAACGATCCCAAAAACTTTCATATACTAAGGTTCAACAAAATACGTTTTAAAAAAATTTGTGCGACAAAAAATTAAAACAGTTTAAAACTACATCTAAAATTTTGAAAATTAAAGCTAAAAGCGATTAATAATAAAATATCGTCGAAAGGAATTGCGAGAAAGCTACCTCAGATCATCGGTGAAATGATGATTATACTCGTCATATTTTAGCTCAATATCGTTCTTTTCGAATTCCGCTCGGAGGATATTGATGTAATTCTCATCGCCATACATGCGTCTCATCAACCCCTGATTCTGTTGTACAAATTGACGTACCGCGTGCCTGCGAACAAACAACACAGAAGCATAACTCTGTACTGATAAGTTGGATAAGACGTACAACGCAAATCTTTTTAGATTCAAATTTTAAGAATATATAAAAACTAATATCTTTCATTTCAAAAGCAACAGTCGAGAGAAAACAATCGAGACAAATCGAATTAATTAAATCGAAGCGAAATCTCATTTATGATATCAAGTTAAAAACTGGAGAAAACGGAGAAGGAAATTTTAAGATTAATCGCTGCCCCCGAATTTTAAATTTTGGTCAGGAAACTTTTGACCCACTTTGATTTGTTTGATTGGACGACTGACAAAGTCCAAACTTTCGCCACGGACAAATCAAGCACGCGCGTGTACGAATGTCGGGCGGGCGAAAGTCTCGAGGAGAGTTTGATCAGAAGAGATGAAGCGCAAATGGACAAAGTACCAAGGATAAGAGCTACCAGCGATCGTGCACCAATTCTGTCGGCGAAAGTCACAGGGTAAATCTTCATGATGTGAGCGTTTCGTGCGCGAGTACGGCTTGCTGCAGGCCGAGGAAGCGTCGTATCCGAACGTGCTCGGTCCGCCACCACCACCGCCGCCGCACTGGCATCTCGTCAGCTGCAAAGCAATCACCTACGACAAAAACAATCAACTATATAATGGATGTCTTCTATTATCTGATCGATCCCTTAATTTTTCAAGAAAAAGTAATTGGACGAACAAGCAGTGGATGGAAAAAATTAACAAATTAACTAATAGAAGTTTTCGAATATTCCGAATCAGAGATCATTAAAATTTAGATATGTTGAATTTCTTTCTTATTTCTTTTTACCCTTACTTATGTTCCGATATTAATCCATACAACACAGAACGTGCAGCAATATCGTTGCAATAACGCTGTAATATTGCTGCAATGTTGCAGCATTGTTGCTGCAACTTTTGTGCTGTAGGGGAATTATGCATATATAATGTATAAATAGATTCCATATTAGAAGTAAGAACTATTACTTAATAAAAATATCATTGTATATTATGATAATTTTGAAGTCGCTGAGAGGGTCCTTGTGACACACCTTCACCACTTGTCATATCGTCATGCCTGAGCGCGCGAAATGTCAGTTCTGCGATTAGAGAATTTTAATCGCTATTAATTTCAAAACTATTATAGAGCCTCGACATTTTCGTATTAGAAAACTTTTCGCCTCAAAATGATGTCAGGAATCTGCTATTAACGAATGATACGGGAGGTCTGGGACATCCTATATATTATTAATCAAAATATCTATATAATATTATATGATAAAGATTTTATAAAATCGTACCTTTGAGAAATAAACTGAAAGCGTCATTAAATACATGTATCGCTTCCATACAACGTGCAACGTATATGTATTGTTTGCGTCTCTTTTGTGTCGCGCAATATTTAACTTTTTTGGTATTACAAATTACAAATAATAAATGTAATAATAGTCTTTATATTGTATCTTCTTACAGTTAAAAACTTGCGCTTCTTTATTCATTCTTTATATACACAGGATGGACCATTTTAATTATATCCTCACTTTAAGATTTTTTTCTATACATTTTACGAAAAAATATGTTAAAACAAAGTTGTTTTATACTAACAAAAAGCATACTATACATATCACAACTATTCGAAACCGATTTGATTCTCCTCGAAATATGTTGTTAAACACAAATCTAAGAGACACATTAAACAAATAGAAGGACTCTTTATATAAAAATAAAAATAATAAATAAAGGGCGAAGTAAGAGTCAATACGTAAAAATTATAGTCCGAAAATTGGTGAAACATGAAAGATTGAGTCAGTCTGAATATAAAATATAAAATAACATTTAATTAAATAAATTGAGAAACACATAAATAAATTACAAGTTTCGGATACCAGATCGAGTCCTCTTCAGATACCGTTTTACATGGATTTGATATACAATAAGTTCTTGTAAAAACGCATAATAAATCTTGTTCGGATGTAAAAATCTACGCCGTTCACATGCCATTCGTGATCAATGACTCTCGAAAATCTAATCACAATACAATATAAAGTCACATTACAATATAAACGTATAAATTCAAACAATAATAACTTACCAAAAGGCATATGTAAATTACTTTAAAATTTTTCCATAGAAAACGGTTG